TGTCATGGCCATGCTTACACTCCAAGGGCCATCATCCAATCCGTCAAGGCGGGAGTTAAGAGCATTGAACACGGAAATCTTCTCGATACCCAGGCCGCAGAATTCATGGCAAAGAACGACACATATCTTGTCCCCACCCTGGCAACATATGACGCATTAGCAAAGGAGGGCATCCAAAACGGTCTTTCCAAGGAAATGATCGCGAAAGTAGACTCCGTTCTCGAGTCTGGAAAGCGAGCTATTTCCATTGCTCAAGAAGCGGGGATCAAAATCTGCTACGGTTCTGATCTGCTAGCCGAAATGAGACGCCATCAGTTGACGGGGCTCGGCCTTCTAGAAGAGAGCGGGATGTCTCCATTGCAAGTTCTTCAATCTGCTACTATCAACGCCGCTCAATTGCTAGAACTCGACACGGAGATTGGATCCGTCGAGGAGGGGAAGGTTGCTGACTTGCTCGTGTTGAAGGAAAACCCACTAGATTCAATTGCCGAGGTTTTCGACAACTGGCAAGACACATATCGGGCCGTCTTCAAAGCTGGTCAAAGAGTCACAGTCGACGGATGAGCGCAACTGCAGCCTGCAGCCGACCAGCAAGGACTGTCTCACTGCAAGACCACCTGGATTCGGAAAAGGCCGTACCGGTCCTGGTACTGTAGTCTGTAGTCGCCGCCCAACTTTCCTCTGGCGCCGTTTCACGTCCACGTCCACGTTGCTCAATGGCATGATAGCTATTAGATTTTGAATTGAGGCTCTTTGCTCTTTGCTCGTATATGGTAACACACACTGAACGACCACCGGTTTTGCGTGCGGCCAGCTGCTGCATGCAGTACATGTGCGTAGCTGGAGTTTGATGAAGCAGGTAGAAACAATTAACTGCCGGTACTAGCCAGGAACTAGCTACTAGCATAGCTAGCTAGGCACGAAAAAGATACAAGTGGCCATTGCTAAAGAATAAAGAAACAAAAGCATAGAACCAGCATTACCAACAAGACACCACACTCGCTACTTGTTGGGGGGTTGCGTGGAAGGACAACTGGGTCTGGCTTTTTTGCCTTCAAGATTGATTCGATTGTTCATTCGATTGATTCGATTATCATTCGATTTTCATTCGACTCTGAAATTCTACATGTATCATTTCCACGCCGCGCACGCCGGTTTGCTCAGTGTTGCCTGGTGGCAGAGTGTTCCGGCAACTTGAAAAATCCTGGAAGCAGCCGTTTTGGGCTCTTGGGAGCCAAGTTTTTCTTGTTTAAAGGCCAAGTGTATATCCGAGTCGGCTCAGTGTTGGAGAGGGGAAAGGAGAAGGTAGCCTTGCAAGACCTTGTGAACTTTGAGTTCAACTGCATGTTATGGTTGCCTTGCTGCCGAGAGCTTTGAAAACGAACCATGCAGCGTGCCGAAGGGTTGGGTATATGACAATCGTACTCTCTGCAACCTGCAACCAGCCCTTGAAGTTCCAATCTTAGTTGTTACGCATCCAAGATGAAGGTTCCACCAGATATAGAGAAAGCCCGTCGGGATGTTCAAGGAAATGATGTGCCTAAAGAACAGAAGTCTCACCATCCGGCGATCCATCCACTTGACATTACTCATCACGGCTCTACAAGCGGCAACGGCATTGCAAAGAGCAAACGAAGATCCTCTTACTCGTGCGGAGACCTCAAAACTAGAGAAAACAAGAAGAAGAGAGATGCAGAGAATCCCTTGCAAGCGCGGCTTCCACACAAGCGACACACGCCGACGCAGTGGTGGTGGGATGGATCCAAGACGGATGCGTTCCAAGTCACTCATCAGTCTCCCTCAGCTCATGGCGCAAAGCTGCGCCTGTTTTGCGCCTCTTCCTGACTATGCCAAGTACCAAGAACGCAAAATCCAACGTGAGTTGAGCCGTACTTGTATTTTTACCGATGAGCCAAGTTCACCTCTGAAGTTTGAAAGCCGAAAATCTTCCAAGATGAATATTGGCAGCCTGTGCTTCCTCCACGATTGCTTTGAGTTCCATAAGGGAGAACTGAGTGGACGTGATGCGATCAGTTGGGCTAGCGACGCCTCCACCTGCCATGACTTTGATGTGCGTAGCTCCCTTTCGGATTTCATCTCGTGCAGCTTTTCGGACTTGAGCGTCGCCGTCACAGATTCTACCTAATCCGGCACAAGTGCAATCAAAGGCTTTTACAAAATCACCAGGAGCACGCTGATCCCCGTGCCCTCCTGTTTGGCTAAGGGCTTTACCACAGAACAAGAGGCGCGGCCCCTGACATATATTTTCCTGCAAAGCTCTTGCCAAGCCGTGATCGGCGCCACCGGCATCACGGATAGTAGTGATTCCTCTCTTGAGGGTTGCTTCAAGTTCCCTCAACGCACACGCAGTGACGTAGGAAGGACTTGTGCGTTCCAAGACGGCAAAGTTCCCTGTGAAAGCTGTAACACGAACATGACAATCGATCAGACCAGGAATCACAAAGCCACCCTGACAGTCGAGCAAGAGCTCCGCAGATCCTATGGGCAGTGACGCAAAGAAGTCTGCATCAGATGGACCAATCTTTGCAATAGTGCCATCAAGGGCGATCGCGATACTCTGTTGCTTTCGGACATCTCCCGTCGCGACATTGATCACACTGCAGTTGGAAAGAACTCCTTTGTATTGCATGACATACATACGCATAGAAAGTAGGAAAAGAAGATACATGCACCGTACAATTGCGGCCTACTAGGAGCTAGCTATTGTGGTGGTGGTACTGTCGTTCTTGCTTCTTGCTCTTTGTTTTGGGATGGTGATGAGCGAGCGAGGGGAGCAGTCAAAAACGGCTAAGGATGACGTCATTCGAAACGGTCCAGGGATACCGGTACAGCTGTCGGAGGGTATGCTACCGTAGTACTTTTACGGTACCATGGTACCAGGTACTACTGTTACTACCGGTGGTATGTTCATGCACAGCCGTGCCGGGTGGTGTCATGGCACATGGCACGCTCACTGCTCCAGCTCCTCTTTTGTCTGGATAACAGAAGACAGAAGCCTTCCTGTCGAAACAAAGAAACAAACCACAAGGATACTACTCTTGGTACCAGCCAGACACTGTATTACTGCAGTGCAGCAAAAGGAAACGATTATCTTATCAGCTCTAATAGTATTGGTATTATAATAGAGTAAATATCGAGGTACATGTACATGAAGATCAACATAGATTCTTTGGAAGGAAGGCAATCACTTCGTGTCATTGGAAGCAAGAAGAGGAACACCCTACAAATAACTTTTCATGGGTAGCCCAGACAGACGTCAAGACACTCATTCAGCATTGCCCGCGCATAGCAGTTGCGGTTGCAGTTTTGATGCTGCTTTATTAAGGACGAGGTTCCCACCGAAACGAGTCGATGGAGAAGACAGCAGAAGAGCTGCCCAAGTCATTGAGAAGCGGCAATGGTTCCAAATCCGACAACATTTGAGATGACTCTGCACTCATCTGACTCATCTGGTGCCTCGCTGGTTTGGCATCTTCAGGTGCAGCGACCGATGGAGCGGACAGCAATGGTTTCAACATGTGGTTTTCAAACTCTTCGGGAGCTCCAGGGGTCGAGGAACGGTCCAGATTTTGAATGAGTTGTTCGAGAAAGTTGTGTTGCGTTGGATGGTCTCCGCTCGCGATCATACTTGTCCTAATAGAACCCTCGTGGGGGGTTGACCTATTAAGCGTAGTCGTGGCCAAAGATTCGCGTGGAAACTGCGCGATCCCCGTTGGGGTTGCGGAAGACAGAGGGATCAACGAAGTTGAGTTCATTTGAACCTGAAGGGGGCAAGAGCCAACCCAAGCAGGCAATTGCGCAGCACTGGTGTTGCTGGACACATATGAAGGCTGTACATGGAGAGGAAGACCGGAGGGAAGGGCGGGTGCCGTGTACGGTGCGGGTTCTGGTGTGAGTTCGGTATTGCGAACTCTCGCCTTGGCCTTTGTACTGGACTTGTACTGTGCGTGCAAAAGATCTGTCATAAAGCAAGTGAATGCATACAGTAGGAGTGAGCCCAGGGCACAGTTGCAGCAGAGTGACGAGTCACCTAGTCTCATCTGGCTGGCACACAGGAAACGTACCTCGAAAGGTCTGGCCAACCTTTTCCCTGAGCAAGTACAGTCGTTGTAGTGCAAGCCGAAAAGGCGCCCAGTGAGCACTTTTGGGTTGTCCGCACTACATGTCCATACGTTGCCGGTACCATCCTAACTCACCTGGCAAAGCGGTCAGAGACTACAATCCAGCCTTCGTCCACAAACTTGACAAAGCCACCCTCCGGAGATGCCTGACGGACCGAGTCCACAATGGTAGAGACGATGCGGCTCTTCACGACTTTGCAGCTCGAGTGGGCGTATTGATGCAGAAAGCTTTGAACCATGGCACGGAAGCGGCAGTTGCCTAAACCATGACATGAACGACAAGGATGCTGATACTGTGAGTTCCTGTTCCACTTCTCTGCCACTTCACTCATCCTGACGTTGGCTCATCTTACCTTCGTGTTCCAACGCAATCTTTCCCCTGCAACACAGCACGTCAAATCGCCCAAGCTGGTAGTTTGCGGCCAATTGGCGTTCCTTGCCCTTGGATCCTTTGCTGTTCTTGCTCATGGTCATCTGGTCGGTTGAGATTCACTTTGTGGATGCTCACTTCGATTAGATGGAAGCTTCGGATTGTGCACTTGTCTTTCTATTGTTTTGTGAGAACAAATTTGTAAACACAAAAGGCAAGCGATTGCCCGAGAACTGACAGCAGTTTTGAAAGAGCCCTTTTTTAATTGGGCCTTCTCGGTGGTACTGTGGCTGTGGAGCTACATGTAAATGTGGTACCGGTATCCACGGCCTTCGTTCCATGGACCACGGTTTTGGAGTGTTGAGAACGCTTCTTGTCAGGACCAAGAATGGTGGAATCGAATCATTCGAAATAATCACAACTGGGCGAGAGCGCGAGAGGCTCTTGATTGCCTTCTTTTTCGGGAAAGCTCAGTTCTCCCTCACACTAATGCCCTTGCAGCTCTTGACATAAGGGGTTGTTCCACCTTTTTTGTGTCGTTTGGAAGCAAATGGGACTCGACTCAGTCCACAGTGCATTATTAAAAAAATTTACTGACGAAACGACAAGACTTGTGAAGAATGGCACCAGCACCTGCTGTGGCTTGCAATCGTAAAATTTTTTAAATAATCCAGCAAGGCTACATCGTGTTACAGCTGTATCTAGATTGTTTCTATCGAGTTCTCTCTGTACCCAATGGAGCAACTGTACCGGTATGCATACAGTACAAGACTGCTTTTGGCTAGCTAGACAAATAAAAGTTGCTTGAGAGATATGCCAATCCTATCAGAACTGGTGTTAGGAGGATTTCTGCTGGACCCAGAGATTCACCCCGCATTTCAACGATTTGATCTTCGCGGCAGTACTAGTACGGCTGGACTAAACAAGCTGCCACAGTTCACAGTTGCCAGCTTCAAGGTGGTCGTAGAAAGATACTGAGAAGAAGAATCTGATAGAGCCCTTCTTGTCACCCTTCTTTTTTGGATGACAAAACTCCAGTAGACTCTATAATATTAGTGCTGTGGAAGTGGTAGTTCTGTGCTATGACCCCTTCGATGTGAAAGGGCTCTCAAATTCTGGCAGACGATGTTGTGTCTATTTCACAAGAATCGAATCTATTAACTATTAATCTAACGGAGAGGACCCTGGCCAGTAGTTCAGGCGTTGAGGCAGCATGGTAGTAACACCCTCGGATGTAGAACAAGAAAAGATCACCATTTTCCGAACCTTGCTTAAGTATTAAAAAAACGGTTTCACTGCGTTTTAGCATTCGGTATGATGCCATACATTTGATTTTATTTGGGTGGCCACAGTGTGGCGCCACACAAATGAAGGTTCATGCTTAGGCTTAGGCCTGGTTGGTAATGTGTTGGGTGTGAGAGTGAACGAAACTACGACTGAACTCAGGAGAGGCTGTGCAGTACCTTATGCCATGCAGAACAACTACTCGAGAACGTCGAACCTGGATGGACTGTGTACCAGTACTCTGAGTGCTGTGTTTCAGTGAGACTTTTCCATTGCTGCCTCTAATCTCTAATAAGAGCCGCTTGTTTTGTGCATACGCACCGGTAGAATTGAGAATCAAATCCTTTTGGCAGGGAACTCTGATTTGTAGTTTACTCCTCCTCGAGTACTGTAAGTGAATATTCCAGTAGTTAAATCTGGTCTCGTGGGAGCGCGCCTTCAAAGGCGAGCAGCGCATCCCTTCGAATCCTTCGCCGCGTAGCTACCGCCATCACAACTGCCTGAAGTACCGATGACCGGTACTGCCACTGTATTGAAACACTGTTCCACCACTGTACCGGCAACAATCTGGCTATGATACTCAAAACCAGTGGTCCTTTGCTCACAACCTAATAACAATACCGGCGCCTACAAACCTTACTCGAGTCCTTTTAAAAGTACATCATCCTAATCTTTCACCATTTGCGCAATTCGACAACTACCTACCTAAATAGTTTCTAAAGGAAGTCCGTCTGCTTGCATCTGCCCTTGCCTTTGGATGGATTTGAGAAAGCGCTAGATAGTAAGGCCGCCTCTTGGCTTGTGCACATGCATCAAATTGCTTGGTTTTATACGGTATTATTGTACAGCTTGCTCGGATCCATTGAATATGGTTGCCTTGCAGTGGCTTCTCGTTTTCACAGTTGATTGTTCTTGTGTTACAATGGTCTTCAAGAACACTGAGTTTTGTAACGATCTTCCTGCAGCTCACTCTCACGGCTTGGGGTGGCGTGTTGGCTTTCTCGAAACTATCAGCCATGGATGAAGAGCATTCATTCCTCTGTTTCGCCTACCAGTTAGCTACCGGTACCCACCTAGTGATGGCCGTGCTCTCAAGTCGAATTGCTGAGATTGATCTGAAGCTGCAGCCAGGCAGGAGCAGCTGAAGAATGTTAAATTGCTGACATCTCGGCTCCTCGTCATGACAGGCAATTACGTTGATGTCAATTTGGAAAGGAGAGTCACAGTTGGTGAGCTTTAAGCTTCTGCCAGAGGCAAAGTGTACCAGGTAATCTTGGAATGGCAGGCAGTATAGCATGGGGTAGGTTCTTGGCGACAACGGCTCGAGGGAAGAAACAGTGCAAAACGGTTCAAAAAGTGAGGACTTGGATCGATGAATTGAATCATGGGAGAATTACTGTTCTGTGTTCTGTTGTTCTGTTGTTTTTTAAAAATTAAATCCTGTACATACTATTAATAGTACAGTGTACATGGACCGGTACTCAGAGCTACACACATTATTAATTTTACAGGTTTACCGGTACAATCTGGAGTCTTCCTCGACTCCCAGCCACCACCTCAGCTGTCCGCAATCTGGTTGGTATGGGCAGTTCACTAGGACTATTTAGGTACGACCAAATACACCTAGAGTATGTAGTATCGAAACGATAGTGCTAGTGTTGGGGAACAACGGTGATATCCAGTGCACCAGTGCACCAATCCAAAACCGTTGAAACCCAACATTGAACTGAGAAGCCCCTAAAAAAAGGACACCATTGTCCTCTTCCTTTGGTGGCTGCTCAGAGCAATGAGTGGCTCCTAGCACTGGACCTCTGTGGAAACTCAAGTCGTGCTACTTTTCGTCTCTTAAATCCTTTTGATCATCTCCTATTTAATGGATTTCGTCTCCTAAAAATAGGAGACGAAACGGATCGTCTCCTAAATCTTTTGTCTCCTCTTAAAATGTCTTCTATTTTCAACGGATCGTCTCCTATTCTCAACGGATCGTCTCTTAAGTGTACCATGTAAACTGTATGGTATCGTCTCCTAAATCTTTCGGATCGTCTCCTATTTCGAAATTTTCGTCTCCTAATTGTAATGTCTCCTACTGAATCGTCTCCTAAATATAGGAGACGATTGCTTTCTTCTCTTAAATCATTTCGATCGTCTCCTATTCCTCGGTGTATCGTCTCCTAAGTATGTTGCCACGAATGACGTTTCCACAGAGGTCCTGTCTGCAGTGGCAGCCAGTCTAATTGGAGCATGTGTGCTATCACATTGCTCTGCTTAGAGTCATGGCTACAGGAGTCTTCCTCGACTCCCAGCCACCGCCTCAGCTGTCCGCAATCTGGTTGGCATGGGCAGTTCACTAGGACTATTTAGGTACGACCAAATACACCTAGAGTATGTAGTGTCGAAACGATAGTGCTAGCGTTGGGGAACAACGGTGATATCCAGTGCACCAGTGCACCAATCCAAAACCGTTGGAACCCAACATTGAACTGAGAAGAGCCCATGTGCTGACGAACAGCGTGTCGCAGATACGATGCCGAAAGCCCCATGTCAACTGAGTCAGCGGACACCCGGCGTGGTATACAGTCGGACTGTAAACCACCTTTACTCTAAGTGTAAACCCACGAAAGAAAGAGGAACGCAAAAAGATGCGAGCCAACACATAGTACGAGGGAATGAAGACTGAAATTTAAAAGTTCGGCCACGGGATTGACAAAAAGTAGCTAGTTTACACTCTTGGAGGAGGAGGAGCCAGGTGCTCCACACCGATCAGGTACCAAGGGCTGTCACTGTGGTGTGTGGTGTGGCATGGTAAAGGTGGCTGGTCACCACCACCACCTAGACCAAAGTCTCACGGCGCGCCAAGTCATCATTGGCTGGAAGACTCAAGGGGTGGGGCCAAGCCTCAGAGGGCAAAGTCAAAGACTTAGAGGCCCCCATGTCCTTTTCAAGCATCGTCTTCGCATGAAAGACTTTTCATGCATCGACATAAAATTTTTGGTAAGCATGGGTGAAAACACGTCACCCGAAATGACGTCATCAACGTGACACTGCACGGTCACAATCGATGACATCAGTTGGATTCCGAACTTTTAAAGCGGAGATGACCGATCCAGTCAGGAGCGCAAAGACATAGGGGACGACCAATCTTGCCAAGAGCACAAGACTTAGAGGCCGATCCGTAGAAGACTTATGAGGCAATTTTGTTGTTGGTGGTGGTGTTGATTTCGCGAAATCGCGACCATGGCCCTGTAGTCGGGAAGCACAGCGACAACGGAGAGCACCAGGTGGTGGACTCCAGCACCAGTTGGTGTACTCCAGCACCAGTTGGTGTGGTAGCTCCCAGGCCAGTTGGCCGAGGAACTCCAAGGCCAGTTGGCCGAGGAGGGAAGTCGAAGCACCAGTTGGTGTCGCTCAAGATGCCAGTTGGCGGGGCTAGAGAAGCACCAGTTGGTGACGACTCATCATGGCAGCCAGTGGGGCTAGAGAACACCAGTCGGTGAACTCATCAAGGCCGGGGTGGTGGCTAGCAGAAACACCAGGTGGTGAACGCATCAAGGCCAAAGAAGCTGAGGCGCCAGTTGGCGAGCGGTCATCATGGTGGGAGGCTAGCAGAAGCACCAGGTGGTGAACGCCGCAGATCTAGTTTATACTCATAGAGGAGTCCATGCAGTTTATACTCGTAGAGGAGTCCATGCAGTTTATACTCATAGAGGAGTCCAGTATGACCAATCGATCGACTCGGTCATCGTGAAAAGCACAACAACACGAACGAACGAACGAACGAACGAACGAACGAACGAACGAACGAACGAACGAACGAACGTTCGGACGCAATGGCTCCAGCCAAAGCATAGCCGTTTAGTAGTAGCGGCGACAGTAGTAGCAGAAGCGAGTAGCTGTAAGTGCGGTAGCGGTCAATCAAACGAAAAAAAGAAAAAGGACGCCATAACGACAACCAAAAAGGCAGACTGGTCGATCGATCGATCCAAATAACAAGGCTCCAGCCAACCAACGGCATATGGCAACAGTAGCAGTAGCAGTAGCAGTAGCGTTAGTAGCAGTGGCAGTAGCGTAGCTAGTAGTCGTCGCCATTCGAAAAAAGGACACCATTGTCCTCTTCCTTTGGTGGCCGCTCAGAGCAATGAGCGGCTCCTAGCACTGTCTGCAGTGGCAGCCAGGCTTATTGGAGCAGGTGTGCTACCACATTGCTCCGCTTAGAGTCATGGCTACAGTACTGTACTAGATTTAGGTCGGTTGTGAGCCATCAAAAATTTACACTATAGTGAAACAGTACTCATCAATGTAAATAGTTCGACAGTTTCTGTTAACTCCTGCTATTCTGGCTCAACACCACACCACTTAACTCAACATATTATTCTTAAAATTGTTTGTATTGAGCATGTTTGCCTATGGCTTAACCACCAGTCTCTATCCTAACCAAAGAGTCCATTTTTGGTTCGATTTGCTTCCTTTCCAGGGTTCTCATCACCCTATGTGTTAAGTCTTGTGAGTACCAATTACACCTCTTTCTTCTAAGTGAGTTGTGCAACATTTTTGTACTAGGACCTATCTGAGCCCTACGTGTAAGTTACAAAACCCTCTTTAAACTAGTACTCTAAGAGCAAACACGCTCGCATCGATGGAAGCAAAGCAAACAGCTGTTTTGCCTCAAGCTATGCTTGCTCGCTTTGAGGCTATGCTTGCTCGCTAAATTTATCGAATTTACAACCATTGCGTCAAATGCGACATTTTAGTGACAGATAAATTCTTTACTTAAGGGACATGTTTGCGGCAGCCTTTAAATCGGTCCATTTTTCACCAAACCGAGCCCTTTTTGGTGAAAACAGAACTGGAAGCATCCAGTCGTGCAACGTCTTTTTGGCTTGGCTGGAGTGACAATGTCACACTTTCGTGTCCATCCCTTTAAAAGTCGACGTCACTTGCTTTGCTTTCATTGAGCACGCTTGCTCTAACACCCTAACCCTACTTCAGAGAGCTTCGGAGTATAGTACTAGCTAGTACTTTGTTTGACTTTTCAGCTTTTCGACCGCTGGCATCTAGACTATGGTCACGAAACGTGACTAAAAACTTAGTTTCACCGTTTTCTTAGTTTCATCCTTTCTTAGTTTCACGGAACTTTCCAATTTCCGTGAAACTAACTCAAAAACGGTGAAACTAACACAAAAACGGTGAAACTAACTCAAAAGCGTGAAACTATGTATAATTCTGTCATATTAAATCAATGTAAACACGACTGAAATGGTGAAACTAACTCAAAATGGCGAAACTACCCCAAAAGCGTGAAACTACTCCAAAAGCGTGAAACTAACCCAAAAAGCGTGAAACTAACAACTAACAAAAGCGTGAAACTAACAAAAAGTGTGAAACTAACATCTTTTAAGTACTGTTTCGGGACTTTGCTGATGAATGAGGAAGCAATCTGGCAGCTCTACTACTCCCCACCAGACCTCGCGATCTATCTCCTCCTAACTCGCCACTCTACATACTGTAGCCATAGCTAGCTAGCAAGATAGTGTATCTTGCTAGCAGCTCCAGCGTCTCTACCTGCTTCTGCGATTGTCACGTTCTGTACTGGTAAAGTTTGCATAGGAACTCGCAGCAATCACTTTCGGAGCTTATTGGTTGCAGTGTCCTCATTGTCGTTGTCGAAGTCCTTTTGCGTTGCCGGTTCGTAGGGGGCTGCTCTGCTCTTGGTTGTTGAAATAGAAAAATGAATCGAATCGAATGATTCTATCAAAGTGTTCCCGTCGAGCTGAAATGAGTTTGATGGAGTTAAAGCGTAAATCTATCATATGACGTATGGAGGCGTCAAAGATTGCTTCGTTTGCAACTGTTCAAGATCGGGATCTCCGAGAGCTTCCGTTCAAATGCCTCCGCAAGCCCTTGCTCTTCTTTGTTTCGCTGGCGAACTGGTGTTTCTCATTTGCGTCGTGGTCGATGCAGAGATGGGTCACAGTTGTTCGAAGGCTTGCATCATAATTGAGCAAGTTGAAACCGCGTCATTATCATTCATACGGTACTCTAAAGAGTTCCCAAGCATTGATCCGGAGCTAAGATGATCATGTAGCGGTATCTAATCATCGTATTTTTTGTAAGAAAAAGTTTTACTCAGCCAGAATTGGATGACTGCCATCAACAGATCCGCTACGCCTTGACATTTTTCGGTGTGGAAAACGCAGGGCATCGTGCATGAACTATGAGTCACTCCGCAACGTCCGGAATTCGGCCGTTTTGATTAGAAACGAACCGGTTACTTAAGGGTCAGGCAGGGACCCGAAGGTCGGAGGTCTGACCGATAATTACGGAAATCAGTTCTACGGAAATTTCCATAAATTACGGAAACGTTTCCGTAAAACTCTAGACCCTAGTTCTATGGAACTGTTCAGTCGTGTTTACATTACATGTTTACAGTACCTTCCTACCACAGATTTACGGTTTTGAGTTTTACGGTTTCTAGTTTTACGGAAAAATTCCGTAAAAGTGTTAGTTCTACGGAAATTTCCGTAATTCACTGGGAAAAAAAACGGTAAAACTAAGGGCATTCTCTAATAGATTCGTTCGTCCTAAGTTTCGTTCTAAGTTGATTTTAGAACGAATGTTTAGGACAAAAGCAATCTTTAACTCAAAATCGTCCTATTTTTAGGACGATTTTTAGGACGAACTGAAAATTTGCGTCCTATTTTTCGAAAATACGACGAAAAAAGAAACTCGTTCCAAAGACTCGTCCTAATAAATCCTTTAAAACCTCGAGTCTCCTTTGATGACATCACCACCGATTGAGCTAACAAGATTGAGTTAACAAGACTGAGTACTAGTAACTCCACTCCCATTTCGCACCGCTGTGGCTATCGGTACGAGGTAGTAGCTTCACTGTGTACACGTACCGTAGCCATAGACGAAACTCCAACCTCGACCACTGAGGTGCTTTGTGGGAAGCCTTCTAGCCACACTATCAGGACCACTTTAATAGGCTGATAGAGGAGAGGTGCAAACTTCACTAGCTAGTTTAGGACGAGCTTTTAGGACCATTTTATAGAGAATGAACTCGACTCGTCCTAAAACCCGTTTTATCTAAGTCCAGTTTTAGAACAATTTTTTTAGAGATTGCCAATTCGTCCTAAGAATAGGACAAGAAAATAGGACGAGCAGTTAGGACGAGAAAATAGGACGAGAATGAGTAGAGAATGCCCTAAAAAACGTAAATTACAGAAATGAACCTCCAGTCGTGTTTCGTAGACTGATTCGATTCCGGACCTTGCGGCTATGCCGCGGTTGGACCGACCATGCCTGTACGCATTGTGCTTCTCGACAAGGCTTGGTGAATCTGCTCTTCAATATTCAAATCTGGATTCTCCGAAGCTGCTCGAAATATACTTTGAAGGTTAACAGGAAGAACGCGATTGGCTGGAAGTGTCCACTCCCCAATAGTCACGTTTTCAGACTTCCAACTAAACACTGTCTTCTTGGACGGTGGTTCCCGTGCCGACAATGCTTCTGCCTTTGCCTCTGCCTTTGCCTCTGCAACGGGTGCACCAGACAAGGATGCATCGTCATCACTACTGTCCCAATCAGATGAATCATCATCAGAATCAGACCAATCATCGTCAGTCAGATCTTCCTCCACATCCAGTGCTTGAGCCCACCGAAGACTTGATCGTTTGTATGGACAGCTAGGAGGAGGCGGCACTGCATGCGGTGTAAATTCAAGCATCATGTTGCATGGTGTTACACCACAAGGAACCGTTTCGGTTGGCTTTGGGCTTTCCACCGCAAGAGTGTTCTTGGTTTCCTTCAAACTACCGCTATTGCTGTTCTCCTCGGCATGAACAGGAGGGAACAAAGGAAGCGTGCTCTTGCTAGACTCCTCTTTCTGTTCATAGAGTTTTTGCAGGGCATCCATTTCGAGTAGTGCCACATCCACACTAGGTCTTCGACGGGGGCGGCGAGCCTTTTCGTCGGAGGAACTTGAAGTCCTGCGAGCTGGTGGTGAAGATTCCACCACCGAATCCGCCGTTGTCAACTCACGTTGCGAGTGTTCAGCAATTGTAGAACATGCACTCCACCTGCTCGTACCGGTAGAGGCCATCGTGGTTGGAGTCCTCGTAGAACGTTCGTCAATCGCAGGACAGGAGCTACCGAACGACTGGTTGAACTTGAACGTGGGGTTCCAGCTCACACTCTTCTTGGACGCAGAGGAACGGCAAGAGCGCAGACTAGACTTGGACGCAAACGATCGCATAGAACCAACCGAGCCTTCACTCGCATCCATACTGGATTGCTTTGAGAAGCGTCGTCTTGTTGAACTTTTCTTCCTACCCGTTCCGCTAGCACCGTTGCTGGTGGCGCTGGTACGGCGACGATGGTTTTTCTTGGAGCTCTTGGATGATGTTTTGGACGAGGAACTCTTCGAAGAAATCTTCGAGCTCTTTGTGTGGTCACTCGCGTCCAGACCTAGCACATTGATCTCATCACCTTTCGTCGACTGTTCCACCAATGTCTTGGGCTTCACTACCGCGGGTTCTTCTTCTTGTACTGGTAGCACTAATGCCTCTCCTTGGGGTGCTTGTTCAGGATTAGCTAAGAGAAAGTTGAACTCGAGGATCTGATCCATCTTCAGGTCCTTGGACACGTTGTACTGGTGGTACTTGCAGTGAAGGAGATATGTACAGAAGAATTGGATCATGTGTGCTTTGACTTCTGATATCCCCGCCTTCAACAGACTCTCGGTATTCTTGTGCATTCCTATCAGGGACAGTCGGGTAATGGAGGTGTAATCTAGCGCATGAATCGTTTTGATCTCATTGGGACCCAGATCACACACTCTGAAGAAGACACGCCAGTAGTCCCTCTCAGTCTCGCAGTATCCCTGGCCCGGCGATGGGGTGGGCTGCATTGAGGTGGCAGATGCCATTTCCAGGTATCTCTTGGTGCTGGTTGGTAGCGGCATGGCTTGTAGAAGGAGCCAATTAGTTTCAATGATGTGCAAATTGTGAGAATGTGACTGCTTTGCCGTTGGAGAAAACAGCTAACCCAGCGGTGATTTTCACCGAAAGCCAACTATGACATACCGCGGTATGACATACCGGCAGATTACTAACTGGCCACTACTAGTAGCTACCTGGTACCAGGTACAGTAGTTGATACGTGTTTCGGCTCCAGCGCCGGTGTCCGGACCCCGGAGCATGAGCACATGAGCACTAAAGTCTTTAGGCCATTCCGGACACTACTGGAGAAGAGTGAACAGTCCAATCGCACTCTCCACTCTCCAACCAGTGTGACGATGCCGATTTGTACTCTAGCTTGATTTAATTGGAGCACATAGAGTACTTCATACTGTAATTTTAAAAAAAGGCTACAGTACTCTGGTACTGTAATACCATATGGTATGTACTCAGAATAGACTGGTAGTAGAGTACTAAATTACAGGCTAAAATGTACAGTACAGTCGTACCGTACTTTGTACCGAGCACTATGCATAAGTACCAGGTACGAGCCAGAACATGCATGATGGCGTGTCGGCCACGGGCGTTTACTGGCGCACTGGCGCCATGCTGGCTGGGTGGCAGGCCACTCAAGATCATCCAACGAGTGAGTGAGTGAGTCGAGTCGAGTCGGGTCAGTCTGAGTTACAGTCACCAAAACTCGTACCGCTGGTACAGTATGGAGGTGCAAGACAGCACCTTTGAAGCTGCTCTGCATGGCTTGCTAGAAGATTGCAAGTTTTGGGTCGCCAGACACTGGAGTTGCCGACAGAGCGGCGAACCACAGTTACTTACTCCTGGGTAGAAATGGGTTGCAGGCCTCCTTTCAACACGCAGCCAAACTACTATGCATAGCAGGCTACAGTGTACTGCAACTCTTTGGGCAACTTTGTTCTGCGGTTGCTGCGCTTCTTTCAAAGACTACGTAGAGAGGGCAAAGTCTTGGTAGTAGGGAAGTGGACAAACACTTCTCCCAGCCAGAGACAGATCTGCCAGTCAGGCAGGCAGGCAGGCAGGCAGGAATACACATGTTGCCTTCGGAGAAAGCCATCAGTGATTCGCAGCTGTTTGCTTATAAAGCTACAAACTATTCTGGCAAGCAAGGATTCTTGCTACTTTGAGTAGCTATAGTAGCACAAGATTTTCCAGGAGAAAAGTTTACAGCAGTACTATTCTTGCTGGATAGATGGTTGCCTCAGGTACAATGCTTCTGTGCTGGCTGGCTGGCTGGGTGCTGCAGCGACTGCAAAAATAGATGATTGTGTGGGCAAACTTGGAACCTCATTCAAGGGCTCACGGATTTCCAGTTCGAACGATAGACGAAGTCCACACCGGAGAGGCTTAGTGGCTTGCATGCTGCCCCTGTGAAGGGACCCTGTGAAGGGACGAAATGGATCCAACCTGGTTGATGCAATTAATTTGTCTCAGTAGAGCACTAGGAGCCAGCTAAGCTATCAGTTCAAAACTACAAGGGGTCAAATCGAATGTACTCGAGTATTGATGAGTAATGCCAAGACCAAGACTACATGTCCTGCAAGTGAAAACCCTTTGTACCATCCGAGGCAAGCCATTTTAATGCGGTGGTACTCTTGCCGAAAATGTTCACATGGTTATCATAAGGGTCAGGAGGAAGGGATAGGTTGCAATGGGCAACCAGGCAAAAATTTGCTGGTATTTTTTATGATTTTGGCACTTTTGCTAGCATCTAGCTCTACCAGTAATAACACTACAGGATAGTACACAGAGAACCAAATCCTTTGCTTTCAAAATTTGATTGTCATTGTACAACAGTGGATTGATCGTTCTCTCTTATATTTATTTGGTTTGCAACGAGGCAAGTATAAATAAAGGAGAGAACTCAATTTAGCACCTTCGCGATAGCTATTTCCTAGCTAGGCAGTGAAGAACTGGTGGAGAGTTGTGTCTTTCTGGGATTGCTTGGCTCGAATGGGCCGCTTGCATGGCCTTGGCAAAGGGATCCAGATGCGCAGGGGTACCCGCAGACATGAGCTTTCTAAGATTCGATTCTCCAGCTGATTCTCCTCAGCCACCAAATAGCTCAGAAAGACATCTTTATCTCTGGCTGGGCTTCAAGAACAGACAGCCGAAGGCTGATGCCCTCAACTGTCAAAAAAGAGATTTGATTCTTTGGCCAAATCCAACACTGTGTTCAACTGAACACACAGTCTACTGTAGTCTATCGAAAACCAACCAAAACACACACATTGGTACTCGGAGTATGTTTTACCAGCTAACAATTAATATTTACCTCATCCTTTATGACGGACGTACAGACTAACTTGCACACATACTCTGGTACTCGGAGTATGTTTTACCTGCTAACAATTATTATTTACCCCATCCTTTATGCCGGACGTACAGACTAACTTGCACACACAGCGACGTACAGACTAACTTGCACATACAGCGATAAAAGTGTGAAAGACCCTCAGTCGGTTGAGGGCAACATTCAACATAATTCAGGCCGCCAAAGGCTAGCTAGCTAGAGCCCTCAACAAGTTTGAAATGGCTAGCTAGCTAGCTCGGAAGAGTACCAGTACTAGTACAGCGTAGTAAGTTTTGAGCCATCTGTTTCCTTTTGGATTGGCTGAATTGAATTGAATTGAATCGAATCGAATCTTTGGGGCTACTGGCGGTCTGGCGGTGGGTAGCCGCACTGTTCGACTTGGACTGATGTGGCAGAATGCTGATGCCATTATTTGTTTCATTGTTCTTCCTTTTCATTTCATTCGTTGGTAGTCCAGATGCTTCGTTGTTTACTGTACGTTGGTGCGTCCGGCACTACCGTAAGAGCCACCGTAAGTAGCAATTAACAAAATTGTTGCTGCGTTGTGTTTGTTTGGATTAGACAAATGGGACAACTGGTCTACTCTTGTTGAACTTTTCCTTGAAAGTTAAGAGAGACAAGCAGTTATTACAGCAGTTATTACAGTAGCTGACTGTTACTGTCGTACCATGCTTGGTCCTTTAGAAGAAAGGTAACTAATAGGCACTGTCTGTACCGCTATGCATAGTACATGTAGTACTCCTCGAGTCTCGATTTGTAGTACAAGTACTGGAGTACTCGAGTACTGTACAGCTACAGTATCCAATCTACCAATGAATTAGGGCAGAAGGCGGGAATGTGAGTGACGATAGAAGAGAATGGCCCCATGACAGAATCCAGCAGGTCGAATGCCGAAAGAATACAGTACAGTATATTAATATGCTATGTTTCACCACTTACCACTGATGTATTCCTACAGAGCTACTGAGTACGGTACTCAAAGGGCAAAGAGCCTCTATTCGCTGTATGAAGGATTGTTTGATGATCATCTGTCTTTGATGACTGTCTCTTATATTATGCAAAAAGAGTACTCGAGTATTGGTACAGAATATTAGATACTCTACAAGATTGTTGAAGTACTGGTGCAGGCATTAGTAAAGTGTGGGTCGCAGAGCAACAGTTGGCTGGATTGGCTGGATTGGGTCGAGTCGTCGAGTCAGTACCATAACTGCTGACCACCGACCTCACCGATGCTTGCTTGATACTCTAATATCGCAGCAGATTCTATTCACAGCGGTGCCACTTGAGGAGCACCAAACGGGGAAGCACAGATCTGTTCGAACAAAACAGCAACTCCAAGTACCAAGTACTAGCTAGCTAGTACTCCATTGCAAGTTGCAAACTAACTAAGCATCCGCATTCTCGTGCTCTTCTCTACCGTCATTAGTCTCTGTTGTAAGTCTGCAGTTGCAAAACAAGGCAAAGCTAGGCAAAGCTAAGGAAGCACAAAACATAAAAGAGCGCTCTCTGTTCTGTTCTGTCCTGTCCTCAAGAGCTACTAGTCTAGTACTTGCTACTACTACTTGCTACTTGCTATAGTACAGACCGCAGCTGTTGATGGCGGCATCTATCAATACCGGAATCGACATCGGCATGTACGGTCGTTGCAATAGTCTCACGATGAGCTTGATCGATACGACCGGGCTTGGAGGAACCGCGGGTTCTCCTACTTGTGCTGCTGGTACTGGTAACGGTAATGATGGAGGCAGCAGCTTTCCTGCCAAACTACACCGCATGCTGACAGACATGCAAGACAGCGACAGTCGCGTCGTCTCCTGGGCGTCGCATGGCAGAGCGTTCAAGGTTCATGACAAGAAAACATTCTTGGCAGAAATCATGCCCAAGTAAGTACCATACCTGAACTTACTACCTAGCTACTATCTAGCTAGCTAGTAGCACTGGCTAGACTACATGTAGCAAGTCTAGCTACCCCACACACAATACAATACCCGCTCACTCTACATGTATTCTTTGCCTTTTTATCTTATCCTATCTTTAGGTACTTTTATCAGCTCAAATACAACTCTTTTCAGCGACAGCTTAATCTATACGGGTTCAAGAAAATACAGCATCAAGGTAGGGATCTGCAATGCAAGCTGCAAGCTACAAGTTACAAGTACTACCGGTAGAAGTGCATGTAGCAAATTTTGGCCAAGATGTAGGCCATGAGCTGACCTCTTACTCTCTGCTTGTTTTCTTGCTTGCTTGCTTGCTTTCTTTCTTTATTCCTACAACGTACCCTACCGGTATATAGGCAAGGACAAGGGAAGTTTCTATCACGAAAACTTCCTTCGGGGAAGGCCAGAACTCACAAGGACCATTATACGCACCAAAGGAAAGGGGGAAACTGGCAGGCCAAGGGCATCTGAAAAGGAGCCGGACTTTTTTGCAATGCCTCCAATGCCCACCAGTACAAAAACAAACACAAACAGCAGCACAAGTTGTGCCTATAGTCCACAGAATACCAAGACATCACCGTTCCTTAAAGACACTAATTTTGCTCAGACGCAAAGCATACCGATAGCAAACGTCAAGGCAGGGGTAAAACGACCGGCACCCGGGTCACGCAGCTGGGGCTGCCAAACATCCTTGGGCATCACTCAGACCTCCATGGACATTCATAATGCATTGATCAGACAAACGATGCCCAAGCCACAAGAGGAATCTGACCGCCACTTTGCAGGCACGGAACACTCGAGACCAATATTGAATGGATTTACGGCATCACATCAGGAATCCAGACCGAGCGCAGCTTCTCCTCGAGGCACTGCCACCAACAAGTCGGAAGACGAGAACGTCAATGCCTTTTCCACCATGGTTTTGCCCTTTGATTGGGAGCCAACGCCGTTCCAACCCGGTGCTTGTCTACCAATAACAAACCAGAACAGCAATACTAGTACATGTAAGACACACCCGACAACGGAGAATACGAAAAATCAGAACCTGCCATCATGGCAAATGCAGGGCATGGACATGTCAGCACAGAGCATCGTTTTGAGCGGAAGGAAACCTCCTCCTGCCAAAGGGGAGAAACAAATGGTCACGATGGGGCCACCAGTACAGACACAAGCCAACGGCGTTGGCAACAATCTATTATTAGAGCCTCGCCAGTTCTCTTGGCAAGCCCAAACCACGCCGAATCCAAGACAACCTCATGCCCAAGAAACAATGGCCAGAACCAACACACAAGCTCCTGCACAGTTCCCCAATTCCGATTCGATGTCCCAGCATGGATTGGCAAACTCGCTTGTTGCTGGCGCTTCCAATAATCCCTCTATCCAAGAGGAAAAGGATGATTGCACTTGTCTGGAAAGACTCCTATTTGGAAGCCTTGATGGTGGCAATGTCCAAAAGCAATGTACACACCATCACCACCAAGTCATGTAGCCAACCATGGAGCAAGCCCAGTTTTGACCCTATTCAGCTCCCTGCACCGGTACCGGTACGATTCGATTCGAGTAATAGCCTTTAGAAGGCACAAACTACTATGCATAGCATTGTTTCTGCTTCTGCTGCGATGGCTCATGTTCTATCTGCGTAACGTACGTAATCCATTGCTTGATTTTAGCCAGTGCAGTACCGGTACCGGTACGTGGTACTCGTACATTGCATCCATCATCTATCATTCCCTGGCTGTCCGTTGCTCCTATTCTTTGCAAACAACCACATGTACGAGTACCGTACCGGTACTAACGTAGCTACCTTTGTTGAAGTTGGACTTGTTACTTATGACTATCATAGGTGCAGCAGCGCTGTACTAGCTCCTCCTACATCATTGTTGCAGTCCTGATCACACCAGGTCAAGTTAGCTAGGCACACTGTCAACATTATTAGACTAATGGCAACATGGCAACTGACATATCAAAAAATGGCAACTGATCCATCCTTGTACTTGTAGAGCTCCGGCTTGTACCGGTACCCATTCGGTGCCAGTAAGTGGCAACTTGAACGATGGGCGCAGGTTTGGTCGCTTGAGCCAGTGGTACACGGGAACCTGGTATCAAAGTTGGAATAGCTTTCAAGCTTGGGTTCAACCCACCTTTTAGTGCTTGCTACGTACCGGTACGCACTCGTACTCAGCACTGAGAAGAGTGCTCTTTTTGGTACGGTATCGTTCTTTCATTTTCAATCCACTCGGCTCTTCAACTCTTGGCGGAGGAGGCGAGGGGGTTCAGACGTTGAAGACTGTCACTCTGGACTCGACCATCACTCACTCCTTTTCTTCTACATCCATTATTTTCTCTGCGTGGGTAGTATTACTATTGTCTATCATTCCATTCTATTACAGCAAGTACAAGTACGGTACACGCATTCCTGTTGACAACGATGGCTTCAGAGAAGAAGAGTGAACATGCAGAGGCAGAGGCTCAGGCTGAGGCGGTATCTGGTATGTCGGAATCTATGAATAGTGATACTAATACTTCCGTTAGTTCAGATTTGAAAGAAGATGCCAATGAAGGTGAAGATAGAAGAAGACAGCATGAACATGTACATGTACATGTACATGCACATGTGCAGAGAGCGTCTGAACCAGAAGTGTTGGCGGTTGGACTGGGTGAGAGCATAACAGCAGTGGCAATGACGGATGGCTCTATGCGATCTAGTGTGAGCGTGGGTAGCACATGTAACAGTATCACTTCCACTGCAGAAGTCCGCATGCTGGCCAAGGAACTGAATGAGAAGGACCGTCAAGTCAAGAAGCAGAGGAGATCAGTAAGAGCTACTCTTCAAAAGGGCACTGGCACTCTCAGTCAAAGTCAATCTACCAGTACTACCGGTACATGTACCGGTAGTAGTCAAGGTGGAAGAGTTGGCTTGGCCAGGAAGCTACCTCCCAAATTTGGATCCAACACTGCAAGAAGTGCTAGTGCACACACTAATAATGCATCAGAACAAGATCATCAATCATTGCCAGGGGCATACTCTGGAACTAATCAAGCAATTGACACAAATGACACAAATTTAGAAGAAACCAAACAAGAAGAAGAACCAGATCACACAGTATCCCAGCACGAGCTGCCACTGATCATTGAAGCTTCCCTTGTCACACAAAACAGCCAATCTCTCATTGTGGATGGGGGTGTTCCTGGACAGGCAGATCATCAGTATCAGGACCACCCGCCACAAGTGCAGGCCATTGAGGCTGACAAAGTGCAACTCGCAGAATTATTACAAAATCCAAAGCTTCAGTGCTTCCTGCTGGGATTGATACTCTGCTTTGTGGTCATTATACTATCCATTGTCATCATCGTGGTCGTCGTCTCACAAACAAGAAATCCAAACTCGGACAACAATTCCGGTACTGGCGACACACAAGATACCTTGGCACCTGTCATGATCGATGATGCGCCTAGCAGTTTGTCAATCAACCACACTACTGCCGGTGCTGTCAAAGGGGACTACAAAATCGTTTTCCCACCAGATATGCAACAATACATCAGCGAAACTTACGACGAGGGCATACCGGACAATAATAGTCCCCTCCACATGGATGGTCTGCGAAAGCAGGCATTCTGTAATCTCATGGAATCACAAACCGAATACTTGACACCAAAAGATGATATCACACTACAACCACAACCACAAGTTGTCACATCCTGTACACTGCACAACGAACTTGCAGCAGGTTCACTCGACTCACGCTTGGACTTTACCATGCGTTATTCCTCAAACACCGTCAATGTGTCGGAATACCCCTTTCTATTCTATCAACACATTTCATCCTCAAAACTGCAACCAATTACAGACTGGGTGCTCAATATCAATGGGAGTGCCACCAACATCAACATCAACATCAACAATGACAACGACATTGCTGATGTTGTCACATCAGCAGCAAACGTTGGCGACATTATTTCATTTGCTTTCCTTCGTTACTATGACACAGAGGGCACCGTGTTTGAGCTTGGTGACGCATATTATATCCAGGCCAAAGAGAACAACGACACCGGGAACTTGCCGGCAACCTGGGACTGGGTTGATCATAATGTCATTTACCAGCAAGTGTTGCTCTTTGTGGAGTGGCCTGCGTGGAATAGCACCCTCCGAGAGCAATTGGAGCAGCGCCTGGTGGATCAGGCCAATTTGGCCGCGGAAGCGTTTTGGCAGGAAATGGGAAAACCCATGCCAACGCCACCGCATCATATTGATTCGGAGATTCTAAACACACACGATCCTCGAACTCCCGTGGCACCGTTCGTCGGAAATAATAATGGACAACGAAGACTGCGGCAGCAGCACCGGAATCTGGCAAGTGATAGGTGGGAAATGGCTCTGGTATTTGAAATGACATGGTCCGTGCCAACGTTTGAAGGCGGGAAAGAGGAGGATACCACAACTGACCTCCTGATAGACCATTTCCATACCTACATGGTGGACCATCACAAAGAATTTGATCAAGCACTTGAAAAACCTTGGGGGCCAGCCTTTCACAGCGCCTCGCCGCCAATGGAGCTGTTTCCCGTCACAGGTTTGCAGGACAATGCTGTCGTCCTGGGGGCGTACAGGCAAAGATTTCTGGTCGCCGGGGATCATGAGACCACGTTCGAACCATACGATCAATGGGAAGAGGTGCTGGAAGAGTTCGCGATGGGCTTTTTGCGAGAAAATGCCTCGAACCTGTTCGTTGAGGACAATCCAGTCGTGGAGCTCGGAGTCAATGTGACGTTGTTGCTGCACACTAATCATGGGATTCCTGGCCGCAGCAACCGGGTTCGTCGCAAGCTACGACGCAGTCTTCAACAGTTGGCAGAAGACGCTCGTGACTTGCAGCAACAAGAGCCGCCAGAAGCCGTAGCATTCGTCCATTACATCGCAGAATGGTACAGACAGCCGGATGCGTTGGCCATCAAAGAGGACCAACTTGGGGTTCTACCAAAACTATTTCAAAGTTTCCTGAATGAAAATCTCCCATCGCTCACGAATGCCTTGCGGAATGCGGGGTTCGATGTAACGAGCTCAAGGCCTGCCTATCTTGTGCCATCTTTGTCACTCGACGGTTTATTCATCGAGGATAGCATCCTGCCAACGACCACCCCGCCTCCGCAGGCGTCTCAACTCACGGCGCATTCTACATCGCATGTCCCATCGACAACACCATCGTTCCGTTCCAGTGCACCCTCTTCATTGTCGGCCACTGATACTCCGTCCTTTCCCCCCACTGGTGTTCCATCAGGACTTCATTCTGTTGAACCATCAAGCGCTGAGGGCCCTGCTGTGGAAGGGAACCACACAACAGGCCCCTCCGATGCCCCGCCCGCTTATGTAAGCTCGGCGCCAACACCACACCCGACATTTTCCCCAACGGTCTCTTCCCAGCCCTCGTATTCGAATGGATACACGGTGGTGCAAGTGTTCTATAGTCAACAGCTGCATGTTGAGTGGGAAAACACAGCCAACCCACAGTTTCTCGGTGCTTACGAACTAGACATTATGGAGCGTGTGTTTGAGAAATACACGATGGACATTGCTGGTCGAGATGCCAATGTGGTGAAAACGACATGGCGCATTGCGAATGAACGAATCGAGTTCTTGGATCACGATACACCATACTTGGACTTGCAGTACGAGATGCTGTGGGAAAGCTGCCACACAAATGTGACTCATTTGCCGGGCCTCTTTCTCGACTTTCAGGCAGCCAACCAGGATAGGATGTCTGGAGATTTGCAGACTGGGGGATTCCAGGCGTCGTGGTTTGGCCAAGTCAAGATGATAGCAGAACCGGCCTACAGCTTTGTGTATACTGCGTGTTATTGATAGATCTGTTTCGATTCCTTCTTTAAAGTAAGCAAGCAACGAAACAATCTATCTGTGTATTTTAAAATAGTACTCGAGCTTGCCAGAGTTCGTTACAAACCTAGTTAGTTAGTCTATGGTTCGCCCCTTCCTTCCCTGTTTTGCCTCTGCTGTTCTCGCCGCAGGAGCTCCTGGCGGATCAGTTCATTTCTCTGCATCAAAAGTGCCTCTTGGCGGTTCGTTTCTTGCTGTTGTAAGTAGAGCCGCACGAGTTCAAGACTCGTCGAGGAGGACGTCGCCGCTGGATCTGCTGCACCAGCTCCAGTATCCGCTGCTGTGCCGGAGGAATGTGTTTGATGAGATTGGAGTACGGCCGCCGAAGCAGGATTCTCCGATAGGAAGTTTGGGACTCTTAATCCAGCGGCAGCCAGAGCCCTACTGTTGCTGTTGGATGTGACGTTTCGACTGGTTGGCAATAAATCTGGGAGGTTCAGTGCCGCCGCAGTCGAATTGGACGACGACGACAAGTCAGCTGCCGAGGAGCTGGCTCGATTGGATAGAGTAGCGGGAATAGTATGACTCAGAGCTGCCCTGGACGTTGGTGACGTGAGATTGCTGAGCCCCGCCAATGCGAAGGAATTTGACGAAGGGGTTGCTGCCAGAACCCTTCTGGTGCGATCATGTTCGGCAAAGAGGTGGGAGGCCTGCAAAGCTTCTTGTCTCTGTGGTATGCGTGGGCTTTCCCCGAACGAGTTGACGACAGAGCGCAACAACAGTTGCATCTCTAGATCTTGTTGACGGAGCTGCGTGGCTGCCGCCAGATTGGTATTGCTGCTCCTTGTGGTGTTTCTTGGCTGTTGCTGTAGGTGGCGGCTGGCACCGGTCCCAGCAAGGGCATCGTAGAGGGGTGCGTCGATGCCAGGACCGGTACCGGTGCCCATGGGCGGTTGTGTTTGTGCTTGTGCTTGTGCTTGCTGCTGCTGCTGCGTGTGCTGCGGTTGGTCCGCAAAGGTGGGCCATGGCGCAGGTGCAGGTACCGTCATGATAGCAGCTTGTGCCAGGCTGCTGGTGGCAGGTGCCGGTGACTGATGCGACGTCTTTTCTTCCAATGATGCGATGGTGATTTTCTTTTTGCTGCCACTGATCTCCTTTGCCAACTGAGGTTTGTCCTTGAGGAAGTAAGGGTGCTGAAAGAAGAATGTCTGGGGTGGAATGTCTGCACCCGAAAGCCGTTTGAATCCCCTGCGTATTAAGAGTGAGCACAAGATACAGTAGATCAGATTGTGATGCGATGTGGCGTGAGTACCGGTACGTCATGGTAGTGTTGCAATAGAGTTGCATGTCAGTGTGTTTGGTGTCTGGTGTTGCTTTGCTGTGACTTACCACCGAGCGAGTTTCCTGGTGAAGCTTTCAAACTTGGATCCTTGAAACTTTTTGGCTAGAATGGTACTTGTGAACTGTTTTGAGTTGATGGCGAATGTCTTGCCGTCAGGTAGCCACCAGAGAGCTCTTTTGTCGGTTTCATTCATGATGAGTTCCATGAGTCTCTCTGGGAAAGTGACCCCCGCTTCTTCGGAAGGATTTGGGGCAGCACCCGAGGCAGGAGCAGTGGCAGGAGCAGATGCAGTGGCAGTGGCAGTAGCGGGAATAGTGGTTTTGGCTTCCTGCAGCATTCCCAATGCCGACGACATGGCTGCACTGGAATAGGCACCACCGGTACCACTGAGGTTAAGGCTGGAGTCTCCGGTGGCCTCTTTGCTCTCCGCACGAAATCCTCCCTCCTGATCAGTGAGAGTGCGACTCTTCTTCCTGCGTCCACTTCCGCTTCCGCTTCCGGCCCCACCTGAGCCTGAGGGAGACACTCGACCTGCAATGTCCTGGCTTAGCTGCCGTTTGTTCGATTCTGAGCAAGCAAAGAGGCAAGTCAGTCATCATCAGCTACCGTACCGGTATGGTACCGGTATACATGGGTGCTCATACAATGCACATTACATACACGTAAGTGCCCCGACTCGACTCACCTGAAGATTCATCTTCCATGGATGAGTTGCGCTTGTTCATTGTCTTTGGAGGCAAGATCAATTGCAGCAGAGTCCTGATCTTGCTTCTGGCTATCTACTAGCTAGCTAGTTAGTTAGTCAGTTACTCTATTGTGCCGTAGCTAGCGTGCAGCTACGAGTAGTCAACAAGCACTGGGTTGCTGAGCTCTGATTCAAAGGTAATGTATCCGACAGAGACCTGGTCAAGGCTGGTTTCAGACTTCAGAGTAGTGAGAAGAAACAGGATGCTTTATCCAAAAAAGCACAGATTGACTTATGTCCTCGTACAGCCGTTGTCAGTTTCCCAGAATTGTGTGTCGCGTGATGGGTCCGGAAAGTAAAGTGAGGGGAAGGTGGGCAAAACTCTCTAAAATTCACCGAGTGGGTGCCCCTCACCCTCCACAATGGTTCCAAGAAGTGTTGAGGGTATTAAAATTAATAGTAGTCTTAGATGAAGATACACAAAAACAGCAAATTCTTTGCCTCATGGCCACTAAACCCATTAACTCCAACCTCTACTACTCAGCCTATACACCTAACGGTACGTGAGTACTTATGCAATAATGTCCCGAGTGACTAAGACTTAGTCTTCAGACTGGCTATTATTCTGTTATCGCCATCGATCATCATCTTACAAGAACAAGCGACATTCCCCCGAACTTGATCAAAGCCGAAGAACACAATGTCATAAGGGAGAATCTCTCACTCTGTCCTTACACTTTTGCCCACAGTCAAAAAAATTCCTTATTATGAATGGTGGGACCAAACTCTTCAGCTTTCTGAGAATCTTGAAGCAGATACCGACGTTTTGTTGATTACCAAAACCCAGGGACAGCTACTGCAGAATATGGAGTATTTTAAAAGCAATAGCTGGCAAAATGGTTGACGATTTTTTTATTTTTAAAATTCTTGCTATGTCATCAAGAATGTTTCATAAGAATGATACTACACGTACCACCTAGTAGTAGCGCTGTAACTTGTTCTTTTTCAAAATAAATATTTTAAAAATGATTACAGGAACAAGTCTCACGTACCAGCGAGAAGATAGGTTTTCAAAACTACGGTATTAACCCATGCAAACACGGGGGCGGGGTGATGAAAGGGTCTTCAGCAGATTGAACCAGATAAAGGAGTTTTGCATACTCGAGGAGTAGTGGCTTTGGGAAAATCTAGTTTAAAATCGAAGTCTGCACCTGTGAAGCAAAACAATGGTTCAAGAGTAGATTGAGACATCGTCCAGCCAGAGTGCACTTTGAAAAAGAATGCCTGGGGCTCTGTAACTGGGACATAAATGACAGTGTGGGCGACGCCATCTTGATTCTGTGGCCTAAGCTGGCCTAAAGGGCATGCTTCCTTTGAAGTTCCATTCACTCACGGGCAATAGAATTCAGATACAGATGCCTTGGATGTAAGAAACCTAAGAAGCCACATTGTACATGCGCTACACAGTGTACCTGGTACAACACATCATGATTTGGTAAACAACCAACTAGAAAAATGTGTCGTTTATCTTAACCCAAAGGCTAACTATGATGAGACAATCTGACAAATAAATCAACTTCACCTGGTTTTACCTTGAACTAGCGAGCTTCTTTTTCTTTCAAGACTATGTCACCAAGAGCTCACCAAGAATGGTTTTCTGTCCAGAACGTACACCCCTTTCTTGTGTCTGGCGGTAAGCGAGAGCTGCAGCTTGAACTGATGACTTAATGCTACGAGCTTTTCAGTATTGGTAGCTTGGTACTCCTTACGACGTTACTACTAGCACTCTGAGCAGCTAGACTAATAGATGCTAGTAGCAGCTCTACTAAATGTATCAATAGTAGTAGCTATTTTGTTCTGGTTGCTTACCAGCAAGACCTCCAGCAAGCCAGCAAGTCCAGAAATCCAGAGCATTTTTTTGGCCTCCGACCTCCCAGGTGGCTTCCAGAATCCAGTTTCCCGTACCGACACTCAGTACCGGTAGCCAGCAGCACCGCAGTTCCTGGCCAAACTTGCAAGTTGGATGCTTCGTTCCTGGTGTACATCTATCCACTACTACATGTAGCTAACAGCTTAGCTAACTAACTGTATGGAGCTATGGTTATGGTAGCTTCCACTCTTGAAATTGCTTTTTAAAAGACCAAGGATGTCGATTTTTGCATGGCTTGCAGCGGCAACGCTACCATACCTGGTATCTAGCTAGCCAGTCTACTCACTACCGTTCTGGTGGGGGCAATGTACGGAACAGTGGAAGCACGGGATCCTTGTCCAGCTGTTTCGTTCCTAATGAATTTGTTCATCAGATTCCTTAAGCCTTTGCGATTGAGTTCGGGGTTCCAGGCTTTACCTTCTTCCACCAGGCTTTTCTACATCGCGGTTTGCACAGCGGCAACTGAAACGAGAATTTGATATAGGAGCATTCTATTCTGTACTGCCTTTCTTCAAGATTAGAAAATGTCCTTAGTACAGCTGTATCACGATTCTTCGACGAATGATTCGATTCGATTCATCGGATTTAGAAGGTTGTGACGTTGTGACCCTAGCCAGCGAGCTGATGCTCTAGAAGCTACCGGATGTACACTCCAGACTTGAATATAAGAAACTCCACTATAAGAAAGCGAGCCCTGAGATTTTAGAAAATGTTAAGAAAACCTTGATGCTGAAATATCACAGACTTGTAAGAAAGCTTCCCAGTATTGTTAAGACCTCAAAGCGTAAGAAATACTACTAGTCTGACACCATGAAAATGCTTCAAACTTGCGCTTACATCTGCAAAATTTTCTGCTGATCACCATCTCTATTTGATCCAACCCAATTTATGAGTCCTGAGCAAGTTGAACCAAAAGGGCCATGTTCATTGGGTGTATCCAAGTACTGCTCTGCTTGACCTGGAAGCATAGTAAGAAAGTCTTCAATGCTGAAATTGGCTTGTTTTGTTAGAAAGGAACTGAGGGTCAAAAATGATGCTGCACGGTAAGAAAGGCCCAGGGCTGCACTGAATTTAGAGATTTCTTATATGTGAGTTTGGAGTGAGTTCTAGTAACCCCTATGCTTGAACATATTAATTTTTTTTAGTCCTACCGGTATCCCTACTGTAACGTGACTCACCTCGTGACCGGACAGGTTTGCCGAACACCGCAGTCCCTGTACGGTACCCATACAGCGCCCAGCCAACCACCCACCCAGAAGAGCTCTCAGAGTACCGTATTAGTACCGGTACACGAGTAAAAGCATAGTGATGGCATCCCACTTCAAATGCAAGCGAGGGATGATTTCACCGATTGGCTGAGCCTTCTTCACATCTTTTTATTAGTAGCGTGAAGAACTGAAGCCCCATAGAAGACTAGGCACGGCATAAGGTTTCACCATTCTTGTACTGGTAGCAATAAGCACGAGAGAAATGCGATTGGTATGAACCGTAGTTGTTTGTGGCTTGTGGCTTGTGGCTGCGCTGCTGGTGGTACCGGTGCGTACCAGTATTCCTCTACTATTAATAGCTAGCTAGCGAGACAATAGATTTTGTTGGCAAAGAGAAGAGCGAAAAGAAATGAAAAAGTGAGGTGTCCGAGATTGGAATTTCGATTTAGCCAAAATACGGTACTTAATGATTTGTCGATGGCGGGCAGTCTCGAGGGCATCGCTAGTCTGAATTTAAATAGATCCAAATCAAGCTGCGATTTAAAAGGAGTGACGCTTGGTGCACTTTTTGCCTCTAATTAAAAGTGTTACTTAGAATAAGCGGCGGCTCAGCCTCTGGACAGGAGGGAGCGCTCTTTTTGTTGCGGGTCGCTGTGTCGCTGCTGGCTGATCGATCGATCGACGCCCGATTGGCCTCTGCACCTGTGCAACTGTCGATCGGTGTGATCAAGCAGCAAGTAGTGTCGAGCAAGTGAAGTCAAGGCAAGTCAAGTCAGCAAGGTCTGTGCAAGTAGTCTCATCAAAGACATGGCATCAACCTCGTGAGACTTTAAAAGCGAAGACGAATCAAATCAAATCGAGAAGAAGAAGTGAGACGATTGATGCGTGCATGTTTCCGAGAACAAGTCCATTGAGCTTGGGGGTAGTCAGTTGTACCGGTAGTCAGTCGTAGCATTGCAATCGAGCATCGAGCATGACAGTCCAATTGCAAGTGGTCTCGTCGTCTCAGCCGCACATTGGATTGCCTGATTGGAAGCTGAAAGAACGCCAGAGACGAGCAGATCCAGCTTCCGACGAACGGCGGCACCGCAGCCACAGTCGTCGAATGGCGGAACGACGAGAACGGCGGGAATCCTCGAAACACACCAGTACTATACATACTCGTAGTAGCAGCTTTGACAGACAAGAGAGAGAACGAGAGAGAGACAGATACAGAGAGAGACGACGACAACAAGAACGCCTATCACAACAACCCAAGCCTGAACATGTCCCCACTTCCATACGGCGAACCGGGAGATCCGACCGTACAAGTCGAATATCAGTACCGCAGCACGAAATTGAGTTCCTCAAGGAATCGGCCATCAAGAAAAGCAACGCTAGTAGCAAGCAATTTGAAAGTCCTGACAAGGCACTCTTCACATTCCCCTGGAAATGGCCCGGGGTGGACGCGCAGCAGGAGCAACCGCCAATGCCAATCACATCGACGGCACGGGACCATGCACCAGTTCAGCAGCAGCAGCAGCAGCAACAACAACACAGAAAGAGGGACATTGGGACACCAACGAAAACAACTAGAGCTAAGGGACTCAATACTGCTACCGCTACTACTACCGGCATTGCTAGTGAAGCTGACAGGGGAAAGGGTGTGCCAAGCGTTGTCTTTGCCATTCGGGACAATGCCAGTGAAAACAACACGGCGTTATCACGGTCCGTCACTGCTTCGTCGGCACTGCCATCCATCCCTACCGGGATCATTCCTGAACCGGGACGAACACATCATAGAAATATTACCGTCACTGCTTCGCCGGCACTACCATCCATTCCTACCGGTACCGATATCATTCATCCAAGTCACAGTCACAACGAACCGGGACGAACACATCAGAGAATTAAAGCTCCAACACCCACGAGGCGACCAATTGCACCTCCAAGGATAAGGCGGCAAACACACCAAGAACCGGCTATTCAGCCGTGGCCAACCCCACCATCGCACTTGAAACGACAGGAACATCAGAGAAAACATCAGCATCGGCTCAGAAGGTTACTACCTGATGACGAATCATCCAATGATCTTCAGCCTATTGCACCCAAACCGCAAGTACCAATCTTGGTGGGAGGAAGAGAAGACCCCATTCCCTGTTCTGACAGCCTCATGGATAGTGTACACAGGCGATATGCTTCCGCTGGAATAGATTCTGGTGTCGGGGCTGTGGCTTCAGGGGAAAGCAACGGGGTTAAGCCACACCATCATCATCGGAAACTCAAGAAACAGACAATACATGACCTCACGGGGCTCGAGTCCATCAGTACCTACGAACTCGAACAGCGATACATGGTCAGCGAGGTGCAAAGTATTCTCGAAAATGATAAAAAGAGAACAAGGGATAAGGAAAAGATTGCTCTACCAAAGCTAACACATACCAGTACTGCACAAGCACCCGTTACTGACAGCGACATTGCCAATAACCAGCGTCTTGGCACCATCAGTAACATGCCGAGAACTGAAACTCCTGATCCACTCAGTTCCAAGGAGAAAGAGCTCAAACAAGAACAAAAGAACCGCCACTCAAGTCCGCCGGGGCAGATTGGTGGACAGATTGTCTACAATTTATCCCACTCATCATCACAGGAGAGACAGGCCAAAGTTCATGCCAGTATAAAGGCACACACCGCGTCCATTTCCGACTCTCTTGAAAAGATGAAGTTCAACCTCAGACAGAAACAGAGTCTCTTGTCGCATGCCGTGTTTGACATGAAAACAAGGCAAAAGCGAGAAGAGAAGTCATCCATCACCGACAGACTCCGCAACAATCTCAATGTCTCGCAACGTAATCCGGATACAGTGCCCCTGCTGAAGAATCAAAACTATATTTCAGACATATTCTCTGACATTGCCAGCAAAATGACAGTGAACAAATCCCGGGGAAGCGAAAGACACAACAAAGACAATGATGAGATAAAGGCTGCAGGAAGCAGACAGAAGTACCCTTACATACCCAAGGTCAGTGGGATACTTCAGGCACGGAGAGAGCAGGAGCGTGCCAAGGAAGCTTCCAAGCTTGGAAACAGTCGAGATCGGGCAAAACCTCAAGACGATGGTCAAGAACGACAAGCAAGAGCGCCACAAAAGAAAATGATCGATCCGTCCTTGGAATCATTATACCGGAAAAACCCTCCTCCTCAAGACAAGCCAAAGGTTGAACAGGATATCACGAGCATTCATCTCCAGGACCCCTGCAGCATCACGAGTCCCATCACAGAGCAATTCAGCACTTTCATGACTCCAGACGACGCCGAAAGAAAACAATCCTCCCTCTATCTTCCAAACATCCGGTCCAGGCGCACTACTACTCCAGTGGGAGAAACGAAGCTGCCTTTCCGTCCAACAAATTCCACTCCAAAAGAACTCTTCGGTGGGCCTGCGAGTCGTGCAGGTGGAGGGTCCAGTCGATATCCTTCCGTTCGTGATGTCATTGACGTTACCAGTGCTGCTTCCTCCCTCAGGTTCAAAAATGTCATTGATGTGACGGATCAGGCATCATCACAAGAACTCGATCGTGACCCTTCACTCAGAGATCGCAATCAGCAACAGCAGCTTCAACAGCACCACCGCCACCACCACCACCAGCAGCAGCAGCAGCATGGATACCAGCACAAGCAGCAACAGCGGCAGGGGCACAAGGAACGGGAGCATCGTCGGGTAAAACAAGAATATCAACAGGAGCCGAAAAGCAAACGAACCGTCGCAGGGGATGTGATTGATGTCACGAGTTTGGCATCGTCGAATCTCAGCCAGACTACAGTTAAAAAAGTGATATGCGTCGACGAAGATTCAAAAGGCTACATTCGTACAAAGCGCAAACTTTCGGCAATGCCCAAGCTGAAGAAGTACGATCGCAGCAAGGGACCTCCTCCCACCAGAAGCACTGGACAGAGGCGGATTGGAGCTCAAGACGTGCAGGGTAGGCGACAGAACGAGGACAGAAACTTGGATGATGATACCGGTGTTGAGATCCACTACGAGGCAAACTACGAGGCAAACTACGAGGCACAATACAAGTCAAATTACGAGCAGGCAAACTACAGGCAAACAGAAGAACAGCCACTTCAAGCGGACTATCGATACAGCAAAAATCGCTATACGCGCGAAAGAGAAGCGAAACGAAACAGTTTCAGGGACGAAGAACAAGACGTCGGTTTTGTTCCTGGAAAGGGGTCGGAGGAAGAGATTGTGTTCGCGCCATCACCTACCGCGAAGCAGGGTTTGTTTGAGGGGATCTGGGATGCCGAGAGTCCAGGCGATCTCGAACCAGGATTTCTTAAAGAGCTGCCGAAGCGATCGTTGCCAGTTGGTCCACCAAAGGTCTGGTCACGAGACAGGCAGGAAAGTTTGAAGTCTCGGAACAATTCGGTCGACAGTAGTCAACCTCCAGCCTCCTTTTCTGCAAAGGGGCCCTTGTTCATGAGTCGCTACAGCCAAGAAAACAATCCAGGCAGCAAAAAGCTCGGAAGCCATCTGTTGCCTAGAACATTTCCGACAAGGTATCCGCTCCAGCCTGAAGCAGAAGAAGATATTGCCCAGACAAGATCACCTTTGGAAGCTTCCGCAACAGGCCCTGAGGTCGAGAGAGAGAGTCCACAATTACTCAGGACATCGAGTCGACTAGCACCGTCTTTGACTCCTGCACCATTGGCCAGGGGTCCGAGTCCTTTGGGAAGAGCTACCGATCGCGTCAGTAGGAGTTCCAGTCCCGTGGGCAAGGGGAAAAGCCCTTTGGGGAGAAACCCGGGTCGGTTGGTCCGGAGCGGTAGCCCCTTGGCTAGGGCACCCAGTCGTTTGGCCATATCTGTGAGTCCCACCATAGTCAAGACTACCCCGAGCAATGACCTAGCGCCACCTGTTCCTCAATCAACCACCAGTCCTCCCGCGGCCACTCGAAGTATTAATCGTGTGCGGGAACCATCAGTTCTTCCTTGGGCCACACGAAACTACCCTTCGCTCATTCGACGGCAAGATGCCCCTATCAATGCAGGCAACAAGACCCCAATTGAACCAGAAGGGTCGGTGAATGGAATCCCGGACGCAAAAGAGTCCACCGATGAGCCGGAAGAATCCAGCTCGAGCGAAGAGACGAAAAAGGGTCACTCTCCGCAGATTGTGCGTCCGAAACCCGTCCGGAGGGCATCGGCTCTATCGAAAAAGGAAAAGGGTTCAGAGCGCTCTAACGAGACTAGGAGCGTCACGTTTAAGGAGGCCAAGTTGCGGGGACAGAAAGACGGTAGCATTCCGAACTACATTTGCACTGATATGAGCAGCACTGAAATATCTTGGAAGCGCAATAAGAGCGTGAGATCGACTACTCACCCTTGGGACAAAGAATCTCCATCTCAATCGAGCAGTCGAAAGGCGTTTACTGATTTGAGTACTCGCAAGTTTGACTATTCGAATGATGATGAGAAGCGTCGACGTCGAGTGGATGCTTTTGAAAAAGCGACTTCCCAGCGCGATGAAGAAGAAGGGCAAGGCCGCAAGGGCGGCAAGAGTTCGAAGAGGAGCATGTACGATGAGGTACTGGATGCGACAGTGAGGCCGCGTGAAGTGATTATCCTTGACGATGAGGGTAGCATGCAGTACGAAGTGTATCATGCTGACCGCGACACTGGCAGCAAGGAGAAATTATGGGATGAAGTGAGTAATTCGTTGAACCAAAGCTACACCAGTCACGGCAGACACTGGGAGACACTGGGGGACGGTAGCATTCGATCACGGCACATTCAGGAAGGGGGCTCCAACGCGAGATCGAGCCGAAGATCAGGCAAACGAGACCTCACTCGGGAACGCGACAATCGTGAGAATGGATTTCTTTTTGATTTTCTCTGCTTCTGATGAGGATATCCACTGCATGTTACTAAGAATAGGTTTGGGGTAACCAACAATTGCTATGGGTTGGGTATACGGTACACACAGCCTTTCGAAACAATGTCTAAGATTCCTTATTGAGCACTAGCTAGCTATCTGGTAGTGGCTATCTCTACTTGTACCGGTACCACTGGTAGATGGTAGACTTGGCTTGACTCCACCGGACTCTACTCTATGACCCCCAGATCCTGTAGCCTGATCAATTTTCTGGTACTCAGAAAGCTTCTACACGCCGCGCGCGTAGACCTGGTACAAATCGCTGACGCCAGAAAAAATACGGCTGCGGGCCTCTCGTGAAGAAAAAGAACAAAAATAAAAGAAACAACATGACAATGGCAGATAATGGCAACAGTTGCTATGTAGATTGTTAAAACTGACATAGAACACCATCAAGTTGTAACTCTCCACCAATGTCGTTGAGCTACCACCCATTGGAAGTAGTAGCATAGCTGCAATGGTCAGAGAGAAAGCTCAATTTTTCATGCCAAATGGCACTACTAGTAAAGGTCCTAGCAATGTTGCATTTGGGCTGTGGCACCACAAAGGAAGGCTCATTGCCATTGAGAGTCCACTGGAAACAGGATCACTCAATGACAAAATTACTGCCAGACATAGGCCTGAAGAACCTGAGGATTAACCATGGACTTCTCCTCATTATTCTTTGGCAAATCCTCAATCCTCTGCACTTCAATCTGCTTGAGTTTGGCCCTGAGCATGGTGAAGTTCCTGAGAGTGGCCATGTCCTCCTCATTGGAAACACCTCTGTGGAGCAACTCTTGCTTGAGATCATCAGTGTGGTAGGCAGCCCTGAGCTTTCCATATCTCTTGAGGCCATTGATGTTGTCAGACCTGTCCACTCCACCATTCTTCTGCCTCTGGGTTTCCTTCTTGTTGATGGCACCCTTCTTGATGGCAGCCTCCTTGAGTGTCTGCAGTCTCTCCACCCTGAAATGCTCTTGCTTCAAGGCCTTGTTGATGCCAACCAGACTTGCCTTGTATGTTGCCTTCTTGGAAAATTCCAGCTGAGCGCCAATGTGAGCAGAGGCCATGTCCATGAGATGCTGGATCCTTTCATTGCTTGTGAGACCAGCCAAGTTCTTGGAGTGCACATCTGCAGATCTGATGATGGCAATGGCAGCAATAAGTTTCTAGAAGGATCAGTTCCAATACCCAAGTAGTGGACTGGACCTCGCTGAAACCCTTCCTCAGGGACAGCGGTAGTCAGGCAGTTCAGGGAGCCTTGTCGTGCCTCAGGAGTGTTCCAACACCTCCAGTAGGCACCAAACCAAGGACTTGGCCCTGTCAGTCAGGAGGGAGGGCCAGCAGAGCTCTCTGCTGGGCCCTTTTGGGCCAGCTCACCTCAGGAGCTGGTGGCCTTCGTTATTCAATCGTGCAGTGGCAGTCTGGGAACAGTACTATCTGCTACTCCTACTGCTTCTGCCCGGCCTCACAGGATTGGTATCAACTGCTGCGGTACAATGGGGCTACAAAGCTAATCAGGATCGGTCTCAATCTTTCGTACTATTTTCTTAACTATGGTGAAAGGACGATCCTTTCTTGCTGCTTTGCTGGAGATAAGCCAGCTGCGGGTGCTGGAGCTGTAGGCCAGCATAGCTGTTGGAGCTATCTCTGACGGGATCCAGAGCTCTCGCTCCTAAAAGTTATCGCTCCCCACGAGTGCGTATGGATCCGCTCTCATGGAATGCCACGATATACGATTAGTTACTAACTAACTACAATACATACTCTCCCCATGAACGGAACATTCATGGGCCACTCGGCATCGACTGCTAGTGGAACACAATGTGAGATGGGATCTCACAAGTGGAGGGACTTGCATGGTTGTTGTTGCTAGTAATACTGCAGTTATTGGGGAGTAATTTGTTTTAGATTAAGCTGAAAGCAAAAGTGAGGATTTTCTGGTGGTGCATAGCAATTCTTGTGATTGAATTGGATATAAGGACCCCCGTAACACTTTAGACCTAAAACTCCCTTGGTTCCTTGCATGATGAATTTGCATACGAACCGGACTAGATGATTAATACACGAGTCAATAGTAAGAGGTGTCAGGTATGTTTCTCCAACACACTCCTGCACGGTGCCCTAAGTGGCTACCGTGGAACGAATAAAATAAATTAGCAATCAAACAAGGGGTGGATGCCCCATGATGAAAGCCCTGTGCTCGTGGAAGAGCTTGCCCTGAAGGGGCTTCGTGAAAAAATCTCCACGCATCTCCAAGGTTGGGCAATACACAACTCTAAGGTTGCCTTTTCCAATCTGGTCATGAATAAAAAAGAAAAGAATGTTGATAGCCGAGTTCTTTTGCCCGAACTGCCTTTGCCATTCTCTGCAGAATGATCGTGCTTTTGTTGTCCTGCATGAGGATGTTGTCCTTCACAACGATCCCCTGCTCTTCAAGGAACAACTTTGCCCACAACATGGGCGACATACATCGTCAGCTCCAATCAATTCCGCTTCCGTGCTGCTCCTCGAATTCAATTTTGTTTCGCAGACACAGACAGCACGCACCACTTCCAAAGGACATTACTCCTCCTGTGTGGAACGTAATCAGGATGGACTGCAAATGATGCATCCACCCACCAAGTGATGATGCGTATGTCATCAATGTGTAGGATCAACTTTGTCCTGCGCCGTCTGATCCAAAACTTGAGGCCTTGGACCAACTTGTCCCAATCATCAGATGTTGGGCTTCTGACACGAGTGCATAACACAGTAGTGAGAGTCTGCACATCTGGTCGAGCACGCTTGCACAGGAACAATAGCTTGGCTGCAAAGGTATGATAGGTTTCCCTGTTCTTGTCATTCAGGATGGTGCCATTCACCAGAGCTGAATAGGTCAGCAGGAGCTGCACTTTGGTACCTTTTTCATTGCCCCAAAGTCCACTGGAAACTCTGAGATCATTTTCTTGACATAATCTATCATGTCAATCACAACCTGTCCTGGGTCGGAAAAATCCACCGTCATCCCCAAGTAGTCATGCTTGGGACCACGGTTGCCTTCACGGCTCCATAGGTTCCATACTAGCGTTGAACCATTCCAGAGTTTGGTTATTCACCAACTTCATTCTGTGGCTTGACATTAGGTCATCAACATGAAATCGGATTGTTTGTTGGTACCCCTCGATCATGCGGTTGGCCACACAAGGATCGTATTTGTTGAACACAAAATCCAATTTGTTCGAGGTCGCTCCTGAAGAGCTTGTACCAGAGTAATGCTGCCAAAACCATTCCGTAGATGGCTCTTTCCACAACGACATAGAGGACTGGTCGTCCCTTCTTGTATGTCAGGAAAGAGGCATATGTGTCAGGATCAATTTCGACAAGTAAGTCTGCAAGGGTTCCCTCAATGATCATGAGGACCCTGTCTTCACTTGTTTGACTTTGGCATTGGGGTTTGGATGAACGCATTGGGAACATCCAGGGACATCACATCCTCTATCTTCAGATGCATCGAACACATGGATAACATCAAACCTCAAGTGATAACTGTTGGCTTCTGGCATCTTCTTTCTGATGGTACACCCTTGTAGGTTTCCCATTGTAGACTGCACGGGCCTTGACGGTGCCATCCCTTTTCTCACTCAAAACATGAGTGCCATTTGTGCCTTTTTCAATTCAGAATCACTGCATTTGTTTGGTCGACTGGACTGAAACACACTCTGCTGTGTAGCTGGTCCATCTCTTTGAGCGCCGCCTTTCTGGCTTTGTTGCCCCACACTTTCAGACCCTTGGGTAGAAGATGTTGTTGGGCATGGCTGCTCTCATCCTTGACTTCTGCTGTGGCACTCCTGTGATTACAGGAGTCCATGAACAAAGCTAGATGTTTGCTTGTCTCTGTCTCATACAGTAGTGGTTTCTTCGCTTCGTCATCTTGGACGAAGGTGACTCCTTTCTTTGCTTCGGCTGTGCGATCCGAGCTGAGCGTCGAATTCCAACTCGAGGAAGCTTGGAAGCCTTGGCTGGTCCAGCGAGGTTTCCATCATTGGTATCCACTGCTGGTGCCGTCTCTTCAACTGTAGGGTTGTCTGGACTTGTGCTTGTTGGGATTCCTTGGAATCCCTCTTTCTCCTTCTTCATCGGATGTCAATGTCTGTGGCATACTTTTTGGATGCCCTTGGTACATAGCCCTGGGGCGTTCCCTTCCTCAGAATCTTCATCTGATTCTGGATTCCACTGAATCTTCATCCGAAGAGTCTCCATAGACTTGGAGGTAGCTCTCATTTCCATTGACACCATCCACTCCTGCAGGCAAACCTACAGGTAAAAATTCCACAAAGTCACGGTTGTGAAAGATATTAGTGGTTTCTTACCCTCACCTTATGCCTTCTTTTCGACAGCATCAATGACATGGGCGAGGCATCGGCAGGATGCGGACATGCTGTCGCGTGATCACCTCAAAGCTATTCTCTCTCT